ATTTGTATGTGTTCCCTTTTTTCCTCCATGATTAACCCCAAAAGAGCTTTCAAATAATCTGCTAAGTATTGAAGTACTGAAGTCATAAGCGAGTTGCAAAAAATCGGCTTACTGGAACAACAGGAAAGGCATTCTTTTGCTTTTCAAAGGCTTTCCCATCATCTGGAGCCAAAAATATTATCTTCTGACCCAAAAAGCCACTAATAAACCTTGTTTCTATAGGCTAAGCAAGAGGGAAGATTTTGCCCTGAGCAAAACGGCAAAGGCGGCAAGACTGTTCTCTGGGTCCTCCCACCCTCACTTCTGCTCCCTCCCCTACCTCCTGCCACCCACTTCCAGGTATCTCCCAACTGCCTTCAGGCTGCCTAGAGTCTTACAAGCTGCCCGCACTCCCATGGGCTCCCTTTCTCCCTAAAAGTACCCCATCCCCATATTAAAACCCCTTTCTTCCCCTCCAAACTCCTTCCAAATCTCAACTATTAGGGACAACCTCTAAGCAGCACAGTCTCAGCACTTACCCTCTCTTTGTAATCCTGTTTATGCACAGAATGCTGTGTTCCCTTTCTATCTAGTTAGGAGTTTGGGGAGTGAGAAAGGTTGCCTTATGGAGACACACAGAGAGCTAGCAATAGAGCCCCCTGTGTAACCTGGGGCCATCTGCTCCCCTGATGCACCAGTAAAAAGTTAAGATTAACAGTACTGTATTTTTTTGCTACTGATCCATTGAAAAGCTAAAAAAAAAAAAAAAAAAAGTTAAAACAGTAAGCTTCAGTTATGAAGACAATTCACTTGTGTGAGCCTTGTTTCCCTAAATGCAAGACTAATAAAAATGAGAGATGTCATGTACTATATTTAAATTTAAAAAGATGAGGCTGTTGTCCAAAATTAACCTCTAAATGGCAGTGGGTGGGGGGGGTATGGTGGCATATTTTTGAACCCTTTGTCAACTCCCTGCCTCAAAAGACTTTAACACACTATCCCACTGAAAACCTTAAAGAGAACAATAAAGGGGCTCCTTTTCTGAAGTTTGCTGAACTAACCCAGGCTTCTGTGGCTTACCTCTAAGGGCTTCAAGCACAACAGGAGGTGAGCAGCCTCCCTGCTCTCCAAACAGCCACACAACTCTGCCTATAAAACAAGAAGGCTCATCACCTCCCTCCCTCAGGACTCTCTGCAGGCCTCATCAGCCACCACCAACAACCACGTTTGTTATTTATAATACCGAATAGCACACCACATCTGTGGGGGCAGAGCCCAAGAGCACAGGGGTGATGTTTTTAAAATGTGATACAATTGTGGGTGGAAGAACTCCAATCGTGATCTTTCTCAAGACACCAGAATAACAGATGGACAAGACAACCTAGAGGCCACAAACTTGTCCCTGTTCACCAAGGTTTTCCCACCCTTGCTGGCTGCTCCTCCCCTGCCTGTCCCCTTTACGCTGGAGCCCCGCCAGGCTCTGGCCTAGGCCCTCTTCTCATCTCCCTCCATATTCTCTCCTTAGGAGACCCTGTCCCTTCTCGTGGCTTCAGATGACATGTTATCAACACTCACATGCTGGTCAACACTCAGTCTATGCACTCCTCCTGCTAGAGACGGTAAATGCACCAACTTTCTTGACAGAACCACCTGGATATGTTAAAGCATCTGTTTAAAACTGAACTTGGTATGTTCCTTCCCTGCACCCACCCTAAGCCTGTTCCTTCACCATAGTTCCCCACTGCATCAATAGGTTCCACACTGTATCAGTAATTCCCCATCATCCTCCCAGCTACAGAAGCAGGATCTCCAGGAACAGTGATCTCCAAGATATACGGATCTCCAGAACATACTGGGTACGTTAAGTGAGAAAAGAAAGTTGCAAAACTGTGTTTAATAGCATGCTATCTTTTATTTAATGAATGAGGGAATAGAAATATATATGTACACACCACACACATATATATGCATTTGTTACTGTTTTCAAAAAGAAACAAAGAAAAGATAAACTAATAACAACTGTTAACTATGTGGGAAGGAAGAGAACAGGGTGGAGGAGAATGAGATTAAAGCAAACTTCTGTGAATATACCTTGTTATATAGTTTTGACTTTGAGAAATATTGTATATAAATGTATTTTATAATTAAAACAAATTAAATAAAAATGTTAAAAATACCTAAAAATTAAAAACAGATTGAAGCAAATTAACCGAACTATATCTCATGATGGGAGACCTACACAGAGAAAAATAGTTACTAAACACAGCACTTTGACCTTATATCTCCACAGAGACATATTTTAAGGCCAAAGAAGAACCACAAAGAAGCCTTAAATTTCATTCTGAATCTTAGTAGTAAACATATAGTTATTTTAAAAATGTAACTCGCATATTGTAGATGTGCAGAATAAAGTTAATACACATTGCTAATCTTAGAGAAGCATGCTTGCAAGGTTGGCCCTTGACTGGCATCTGGGAACTTGGATTCCAGGTGGTTCTCACAATTCCCAGAAATGATAAGAGTGGCTCACCACGCCTAAACTGTGTAAACAATACGGTTCATGCTGAACACCTGCTTGCTTTCTGGAAATATGGAATTTTGGTACATGGTAGGCCAAGGGTGCTTCTGTGACCAGTCCTCAATAAGAGCTGTGGGCACTGAGTCTCTAACGAGCTTCCCTGCTAGATAACACTTCACACACACTGCCGCAACTCCTTCCTCTGGGTGTCCAATGGGAGAGCACGCAGACGCCTGTGCCTGTTTCCTCCAGTCTCTGCCCCATGTACCTTTTCCCTGTGCTGCCATACCTGGTACCATTTCACTGCCACAGCTGAGAGTCCCCCTAGTGCATCACTGAACCTGGGGTGGTCCTGAGGACCTCGGATACAGTAGGCTCTAGCAGACACATCACTTTGTTAATGTTATTGAGAACAAGATTTCCAGCATAAGATAAAGAAATACGAGACTCTAGTATAAAATCAAATAGATAGAAACACTATCACCTTACATTTGAATTGGAAATACTAGTATGAACTCACAACTTTTTCATTTCTTAAAAAATGTTTATTTTCTATTTCCGTTTATTGAAAGGCCTAGATGCAATAAGAGCTCAGTAGCACCGAGAATTTCTAATGCCCCAACTGTAGCTTCTAAATACTATTTTCTAACTAAAAAGAACTAGAACATTTTAGGGAAATGACTGATTCCAAGTGTGGGGCAGGAAATGAGCCTGGGGCCAGGCGCAGCGGCTCATGCCTATAATTTCAGCCCTTTGGGAGGTCAAGGCAAGTGGATGGCTTGAGCCCATGAGTTTGTGACCAGCCTGGGCAACATGGCAAAACCTTGTTTCTACTAAAAATACAAAAACTAGCCAGCCATGGTGGCACACCTGTAGTCCCAGCTACTTGGGAAGCTGAGGCAGGAGAATTGCTTGAACTTGGGAGGCAGAGGTTGCAGTGAGCTGTGATTGTGCCACTGCACTCCAGCCTGGGCAACAGACAAGAACCTGTCTCACACACACACACACACAAAGAGCCTGTGACATCTTACTGAACCATGAAGCAAGGAAATATCAAAGACTAATGAAGTATGACAAAGAACAAAGATACCAACTTAAAGGGGCTCCCACTGAACATAAAAAACAAATTAATGGCAGACAAGTGCCCTAAAAAAAAAAAAACAACTAAAACATATCAAATATATAAAAAATATGTTCAAAATGCTATGAAAACCAAAGCTTCACTGGTCAACACTGGAGGTTGCTAGAGCCTGAATTCACAACTTTGAAAATTGATAAATAAAGGGAAAGAACCAAGCATTTTTCCTGCTCTTCATTATGAAGAGTAATTCAGAGTAATCATACAGGTGATAAGGAAAAAGTCTTTGTTAAAGAATTCCAGCTAACAGATGCAGAAGGAAATAATGGATCTAAGCAACGACCATCAATGGATGCTAAAATCACTTAGGTGAAAGACTGACAGGGGATTTTCATCAGCTGGTACCACCTAAACCCACCGATCAATCCTAGAATCTCTAAATGTGCAGCAGCCAGACATCACATGCCTGTTGATGCCACATAGTAGGGAGTACACAGCACCAGCTCTGAGGTATTCACACCCAATAACCTGATTGGAATGGAATCAGGCCTCTACATAGAACGCCTGTTGATAGGAAACACAGGGAACAGAGAAACACGTTAAATGACAACACAGAGAAGCAATAGCCAATTCCTGGGATGTAGGTATCCCACATGATAGATGACCTGCTTTCTCCAACAAATCAATGCCATCAGCAAATGAGTGGGCAAGAAAATGGGTAGAAGGAGGGTGTATAGTTATGAAGATATTTACAGAGGAAGAGTCAACAACAAAAAAAATGCCAATTTGACCACATCATTCTCATACTTAAAACCCTCTGGCCCCTGTCCACACCTCTGGCTGCACCTCTCATCATGTCCCTCTGTGCTCTGGCCACAGTCACCTTCATTCGGTTCCTCGAACTAGCCCCTTCCTTTATTCTGAGTCCCTTGCACGTGCAATGCCCTCTCCCTGGAATGTTGCCCTCGCCCCTTGCCCACTTCGCCTGGCAGAAGCCTGCTCATTCCTTCAGTCTCAGCTCAAACACTGTCTCCTTGTCAGGGACCACAGCCCAGGGTAAGATCAGGTCTCTCCCCCTTGTTATATACCCTCGATGTACTCTGTACTTCTCATGGGAGCACATGGGGGTATATTTTTGTTATCTGCCTTCCTCCCAAGGACTAGATGCTCCTCAGGTGCAGACACTACATCTTTCAGCAGAGTCTGAAATGTAGTAGGCACTAAATAAAAATCTCCTTAATGGGTACATGAACAAATAAAGTATTAACTATGTGGTTCAACCCACCAGGTGGGAACTCAGGGGCGCGCTAAATCAAAAAGGCCCACTGTAGACCCCGCTGATCTTAGTTGCGGTGGCATCTACTGTTAGTACTCAGAATCCAGCCTGGCACTCAGAGGAGCTCAGGCTCCCAAGGAAACACTCACCGCCTCGTGGGACTTGGGAATGGGTACGATGATGGCCAGCACACAGATGAGCTGGAAGATGGCTCCCAGGAAGAGTCCGTACCGTAGCAAGTTCTCCAGGAAAGTGGGCTCGGGCACCTCCGGAGGTGAGAAGTCTAGGTCAGAGGCCATGGCCCAAGTTGCTGGCTGCCTGATGTCTCTTCTGACTCACCACTCTTCAGAGCCAACTTGTAAAAGCAAAGGGTCAGTGTCATATTTCTATAACTGACTTTTATTTATTTATTTATTTATTTATTTATTTGAGATGGAATCTCACTCTGTCACCCAGGCTGGAGTGCAATGGCATGATCTCGGCTCACTGCAACTTTGGCCTCCTGGGTTCAAGCCATTCTCTTGCCTCAGCCTCCCAAGTAGCTGAGATTACAGGTATGGGCCACCACACTCGGATGATTTTTGTATTTTCAATAGAGACAGGGTTTTACCATGTTGGCCACGCTGGTCTCAAACTCCTGACCCCAGGTGATCTGCCCGCCTCAGCCTGCCAAAGTGCTAGGATTACAGGCATGAGCCACCGCACCCAGCAACTGACTTTTAGCTTGAACAAACACACACATCCCCCCAAGAATATATACAGGAATTGTGAAATGTTAACAATTCTTGAATCTAAGCTGGGGACATATGGTTAGTCACTGAACCATTCTTTCAACTTTTCTGTACGTCTGATGTTTTCCAAATATAAAGTTGAGAAAAATAAATAAATGCAAAGGGAAGCACTTCAACAAAAATCTCAAATCAAAATACATTTACTAAAGGCTTGCCACGTTTCAGGTTTTGTTGTTTATTTATTCATCTAGTCATCCATTCAACTAGTATTTCTTGAATACCAAGCACTGAAGAATGAGCAAAACAGACAAACCCCTGCTTTCTTGGGGCCTACATGCTCAGGATGGAAGGAGACAATGAACACATTGAGACGTGATATGCCAGGTAGTGATAAGCATTTTGGAAAAAACTTAAGGGCATCACTTTATTTTGTGACAAGAAGGCTGTCTCTGAAGAACAGAGATGGGAATAGAGTGGAAGAGATAAGAAGTGAGAGAGTGAGCCATTTGAGTATCTGAGGGAAACATGTTCCAGGCAGGGAAAAAAGCAAGTGTGGAGGCCCCAGGGTGGGGAAATGAGGTCAATACAGGGAGAAAAGTGATCAGGAGGGAGGGTGGAAGGAGGTAAGATCAGAGAGGAACAGGGTCCGACCCTGATACCTCCAATTTGATTGAGTACAATGTAAAGCCACTGAAGGGTTTTGAGCAGAAAAGTGACATGATCTGACTTCCATTTTTAAATGGAGGAGGGACAACAAGGGGAGGGGCAAAGTGGACACAGGGAGAGCCAGGAGGAGGCCCCTGCCAATAAGCCAGACAAGAGCTGCTGATGGCGTGAATGACAGGGGCAGTGGTGGCCAGTGGTGCAAGGTCCTGCCTCAGCCCAGCTCTCCAGCCTCTCCTCTCGGCAGGGCCCCCGCTCCTAATATCCTGGTAGAGCTGAAAGAACTGCTGTGGTTCTCCAAGAGCACTGGGCTCTTTCAAAATCCTGGGCCTCTGCTCAAGCTGCATACTCTGCAAAGAATGTCCTTTCCTACTTTGACTGTTTGACAAAGCCCCAACTCTGCCTCTAAGGCTGAGCTCAAGTGTCATCTCTCCAACATGCCTTTCTTGTCACCCTCCTCTTCCACTGGCATGACTGAACTGCTCCCCCTCTACCACAGCACCCATCAGTGGCTTTCTTCTGCCCATCCCAATGATAAAGGGGCAAATTTACTTTGGAATCAGGCCTATCTGAATCTAAAACCCTTTGTGTTTCCAGAGATCTGTGCCACAATGCAATGTTTTGCTAAGTCTGAGCTATCCAATATGGTGGCCATGAGCCATACGTGACTATTACGACTTGAAACGCAGCGAGTTTGAATTTAGATGCTAATTAGACACCCATTTTCAAAGACTTAGTATGAAAATAAGAATGTAATCTATTTCATTCATAATGTTTTCATATTGATTACATGTTGAAATGACTGCAGTGGCTCACATCTGTAATCCCAGCACTTTGGGAGGCCACAGTTGGCAGATCACTTGAGCTCAGGAGTTCGAGACCAGCCTGGACAACATAGCGAGACCCCATCTCTAAAAAAAAAAAATTATTAGCCAGGAGTGGTGGCTCACTCCTGTATTCCCAGCTACTCCAGAGGCTGAGGTGGGAGGATCACTTGAGCCCAGGAGCTCAAGGCAGTGAGCCGTGATCATGCCACTGCACTCCAGCCTGGGTGACAGAGCGAGACCCTGCCCCCATCCCACCATGACACCAAAAAATACACGTAAAAAATAATTGGCTGGGCACGGTGGGTTACGTCTGTAAGCCCAACACTTTGACAGGCCAAGGCAAATGTATCACTTGAGCCCAGGAGTTCCAAACCAGCCTGGGCAACAGAGTGGGAACCTGTCGCTATAAAAAATTTAAAAATTAGCCAGACATGGTGGTGCACACCTGTAGTCCCAGCTACTCAGAAGGCTGAGGCAGGAGAATTGCTTCAGCTGGGAGGTCGAGGCTGCAGTGAGTTAGTGAGTCGTGATTGCATCACTACACTCCACCCTGAGTGACAGGGTGAGAGACCCTGTTTAAAATTTTAAAAAATCGAATTGAAAGCAAGGACTCAAGATACTAATGTTCATAGCACCACTATTCACAATAGCCAAAAGATGGAAACAACTAAGAGTCCATAAACAGAAAAATGGATAAACAAAACGTAGTATATACATACAATGGAATATTACTCAGCCATAAAGGAAATGTAATTCTGATACATGCTACAACATGAATGAACCTTGAAAACATTATGAGCTTTGAATAAATATATATGAAATAAGCTAAACACAAAAGAACACATATTGTATGAATGCTCTTATATGAGGTACCTGGAAGAGGCAAATTCAGAGACAGAAAGTAGAATTGAGATTACCAAGGGCTGGAGGGAAGGGAAACGGGGAGTTACTGTTTAGTGTGTACACAGTTTCAGTTTGCAAAGATGAAAAAGTTCTAGAAATAGACAGTGATGACGGTTATACAACACTGCAAATACCACTGAATCTTAAACTTAAGAATGGTTAAAATGGTAAATTTGTTACATATATTTTGTCACAATTTTTTAAAAATCTGTTTCTTTTTACCCATTTATTTATTTATTTAGAGACAGGGTCTCACTCTGTGACCCAGGCTGGAGTACAATGGCACAAACATAGCTCACTGTAACCTCAAACTCTTAGGCTCAAGCAATCCTCCCGCCTGAGCCTCCCAAAGTGTTGGGATTACAGGCATTGCCCCTTTTTGCTTTTTAAATGTGGCTACTGGAAAATGTAAAATTATACATAGCTTGTATATTTCCATGGGGAAGCCCTGGGGTAGAGACAATCCTAAAGACCTGCCTCACAGGGCGCGGTGGCTCACGCCTGTCATCCCAGCACTTTGGGAGGCTGAGGTGGGCGGATCACTTGAGATCAGGGGTTTGAGACCAGCCTGACCAACATGGAGAAACCCCATCTCTACTAAAAATACAAAAAAATTAGCCGGGCATGGTGGCAGGCGCCTGTAATCCCAGCCACTTGGGAGGCTGAGGCAGGAGAATCGCTTGAACCTGGGAGGCGGAGGTTGCAGTGAGCTGAGATCGCGCCATTGCACTCCAGCCTGGGCGACAAGAGTGAGACTCCATCTGAAAAAAAAAGGCCTGTCTCCACCTTGGCTCTGCTGCTTCACTGCTTTGCACCATGTTTCCAACATGAAGTCACCGAAGAATAATAAAAACGACCTTCGTAAGTAAACAGAGCCGGACTCACACACGATATTGCTTCCCTTTCAACCTGGTCACTTTGGAAGGTCATGTGCCTGGGGCAACAGGATGGCCACTTTTCACATCAGTCTGTCTACCATGGAAATGGCCTTCAAAGCTTGAGGCTCTTTTTTTTTTTTTTTTTTTCCAGAATCCTCAGAGCTGGCAGATCTTCATCCTCCCAGGAAGGATTTGACTTCTGGAAAGAGCCCAACATCATCTGGTTCCAAGTGCAGTGAATCAGGTGGCACTGAGCTCAGGAATACCATTTTTGGTCAAATACAAGGTATGATGCTCAGACTCCAAGCAGATTACTTGGGGTGGCTCATAAACTGGCCCTGAAGTAAATTCCAAGGCGGCTGCAAGAACAGCTTCACTGGAAGAAATGTAACAGCCTCTACCAGCACCACCACGTGAATACCAACGCTTAAGAATGCGTTCTCATTTCTCCGCAGTTGCACCTCATAAAGTGTGCATTTTTTAAAATGCCCTTGGCCCCAAGCTTTTTGCTTAAGGCTGTAACAAGCTTTATGAGGTTATAAATACCCGGATTCACTAGTGTTACTACTAACAGCAACATTGTGATAATAAATATTTGGAGTGGTACAATAGAAAGATAGGGCAAGAGTCGGGAAGCAGAGGACAAAAGCCCCGGCTCTATCTGCAAGTAGCTACACTTTGGGCTAATAATCTCTTGACCTCTGGAGACAGGATGTTCTCATGAGCCAAGCAAGAATAATACCTATAATACATTTAGGCCTTTAAAAAAAAATGGCAATTAGACAAAATATAACAAGAGCCATAATAGTGATTATATCCTTTGACTGAATAACTTACTTCCTAGAATTTATAGTAAGGAAACAATTCAAAAGAAGAAAAAGCCTTCAGGTAGAAAAAAGTTCACGGCAGCACTATTCATAATACCGAAAAACAGGAAGCAAGCCAGCGTCCAGCAATCAGCAAGCAGTTAACCCAGTGAGGGTACATCACCGTATAATCCCTCTTCACTAACATGGCAAACATAAACATTGTGGATCAGCTCAGTGGAAAGTCTTTGCAAAGTAACATTAATTGAAAAAAAATAAGCAATTGTATAAACACTATGATTGGAACCATCTATAAGCTGATTTCATGGGCCAAAGATCAAAAGAGGCCACAGAAATATAAATAGTTGCTGTTAAGGTGAAGTCATGAGTTTTAATTTTTTGGACTGTTATGAAACAATGAAGTATCTAAGAAAAATCTATGCCCTACCTACTTCCTTCACAAGACTTTTGTTAGGGTATAATGACACACTGTCCAATAAAACTTTCTGCAGTGATGGAAATGTTCTGTATTTGTGTTCTTCAAATGGTAGCCACCAGCCACATGTGGCTATTGAAAACTTAAATGCGGTTACAGAGAAACTAAATTTTTAATTTTATTTAACTAATTAACAATAAAAAGCCACATGTGGCCAAAGTTTCCCTACTGGACAGCACAGGTATAATAGGAGGCTGGTTGTGAAAAGGTTCTGGAAAACAAACTGCTCTACACATACTGTGTGCGCTGTACAGCTCTCATCTAGTTCTCTCTGCACCTCTGCGCTTTACTTCCCAGCTCTCTCTCCTGCCAGTATTTCTGAGTTTTCTTTCCTGATGACCAAAGTCAAACAAGTCCTATTCATCCTGCAGATCTCAACTAGGAGACACTTACCCCTTCAACTCGCTGTGACAGGCTTTGTTCCCCGGCCATTGCTCCAGCAGCAGCAGCAGTCGGCAAATGAATGGCCAGGTGTTGTGAACAGCACTTTACAGGCAGCAACTCATGCACTTCGCCACCACGCTGGGAGGTGGTATTACTAATGAGGATGAGGAAACCAAGGCTTGGAGAGGTTATGTGACCTACCCAGGGATAACCTGGCTGGTAAGTGGCAAAGGCAAGATTCAAAGGGGCCGGCTTCTCCAGAGCCAGGGCTCTTACCCACTATGTCAATTGTTTTCAAACTGTAGGCTGTGGCCCATTAGTGAGCCACGAAAACCATTTAGGGGGCTGCAACCAGCATTTTTTCTTTTATTAGGCAGCACTTTATTTAAGTAGGTAAATAACAATAGAAAATATCAGAGAGTATCACATTAAGGGCCGGTATTATATGCTGAAGCTTTTTAAATACCCATCTACATCTGAGCATGTATGTGCTGGATCAAATTTTAGAATGCTGTTTCTTATTCTTTGAGAAATATTACACTGGAATCTACTGTTTTCTACTTGATCCATTGTAATCTCTTGAACAGCAAGGATCTTGAGTATATCTTGAGTTTATGCCAGGTCCTGACTCGTAAATATCTGGTAAATGACTAAGCCTATGCCTCTGTTTCCCACCTTGAAAGCAAGAGCAGATGCCTCAACCAACAGTGTCATCATTTAACAACAAGGAGGAGCTGAGAGGCCACGAGGTTTCCCTAGACTCTACTGGTGAGTCAGGGCAGAGCTGCTATCCTGGCCTCTAGCCTTGTCCTGCTCCAGACTTGCTTACGGGTAGAGGTTTTCATACACCGGGAGACTTTCATACCTCTATCAGAATTTAACAAAAGGTGCCTAATTATTTATTACTGAACGAGGCAAATAATTTCGTGAGGTTACTAGACACTGCAAAGTTCACCCCTGAGTGCCAGACACTGCTGACAGAAGACATTAATTCATTGGACAAATATTTACTGTGAATCTACTATGTGCCAGGCACTGGTCTAGTCCTTGTCACGGAGTTTCCATTCAACTGGAAGTACTCAAACACACACATACACATGCAATGTCAGGGGTGAGTATTACAATACATACAGGAAGGAGGAAGAGGGCACTATTTAATATGAAGTGGTCGGGGAAGGGCCTCTCTGCGAAGGTGACATTTCAACAGAGGAAAGAAGAAAGCAAAGGAATAAGTCATTTAAACATCTGCCAGAGTATCCCAGGATGGAGGGACAGCAAGGGCCAAGTTCCCGAGGCAGGAATAAGCGTCATGATCAAGAACAGTCAAGTAAGCAAGCTGCAGGCCGTTATGAGGACTCTGGCCATTCTCTGAGTGAAAAGGGAGCTACTGGAAGGTTCTTAGCAAAGAAATCACATGGTCTGACTCATTTCAAAATGATGCCTCTGGCTGTTCTGTTGACAATAGACTGTAGGGGACAAGACTGAAAGCAAGGAGACCAGTGAAGAGGCTACTTTAACAGTCAAAAGACACACTTGTACCAGGGTGGTAGCTATGGAGGTGGTAAATTCTCAGCTTATAGATATATTTTGGAGAAAAGCAACAGGAATGCTGAGGTGAAATCTGAAAGAAGTTAAAAATAATCCCTGAAGGAGGGGAAACTATCCTGTATGACACCATAATTAGGAATACAAAATATTAAGCATTTGTCAAAACCCAAAAAACTTGACAGCACAAAGAGTAAACTTTTTAATGTATGCAAATATTTTTACAAACACATAGGAAGGCCGTGGCAGTGGCTCACATCCATAATCCCAGAACTGTGAGAGGCCAAGGCAGGAAGACTGCTTGAGCCTGGGAGTTTAGACCAGCTTGTGCAACATAGTGAGACCCGGTTTTTAAAACACACCAACACACACACGCATGAAGTCAGGGTGTTCCAGGATGGAATGCAGAATGTGACATTTTGAATCTAAATGTATTAAACAACTTCACTGAAAGGGTGGCAGGGGAATAGGGTGCTGACCTAAGTAACTTTGAAAATGAGTGGAGCCGTAAGACTGAAGGCAAAAGGAACTGCACATACACACTGTACTCTAGCTGATAAGTTGTTTCCCACAGGGGATACAGGCGGAGCAATTCTAAAACCATGATACGTGTATGCTAAGATGAACAATTAAGTAAATGTATGGTGAATGGTGGGAGTCGGGTTCATCACAGGTGGAGTGGGAGGTTACAGATAAGCAAGAAAAGGAAGCTAGAACAGGGGTCCCCAACCCCCAAGCCACAGACCAGTACCAGTCCATGGCCTGTCAGGAACCAGGCCGCACAGCAGGAGGTGAGCGGCAGGTGAGCAAGCAAAGCATCATCTGTATTTACAGCCGCTCCCCATCACTCACATTACTGTCTGAGCTCCACCTCCTATCAGATCAGCGGCTGCATTAGATTCTCATAGAAACACAAACCCTACTGTGAACTGCACATGTGAGGGATCTAGGCTGAGTGCTCCTTATGAGAATCTATTGCCCGATGATCTGTCACTGTCTCCCATCACCCCCAGACAGGACTGTCTAATTGTAGGAAAACAAGCTCAGGACTCCCACTGATTCTACATTACGGTGAGTTGTATGGTCATTCCATTATATATTACAATGTAATAGCAACAGAAATAAAGTACACAATAAATGTAATGCACTTGAATCATCCCAAAACCATCCCCACCCCCAAGTCTGTGGAAAAATTGTCTTCCACGAAACCGGTCCCTGGTGCCAAAAAGGTTGGGGACTGGTGAGCTAGAACAATCCACGTGGTCATGATAAGAGCTGGACATCAGTTATGTTTAGCTGAACACAGATACAGGTGGTTATATATGGAAATACTTCTACATCTGGGCATCTATACGTATGTCTCTTGCTCTGTCCACTGCGAAGGCCTAGAAGCAAGGACATTGAGAAGCACTGAGCGTACCCACAGCCCAGATCTTGTTTCCTGGGCCATTCTCCAACAAAAGGAGCCAGGGCTCCTTGGGAAATGGCTAATTCTAGGACTGGGGCAGAAACACACTAGATGAGTCTGGAATAGAAAGAAGGTGCTCAACAAAACAAAACAAAGCAAAACACATAGAGGGGGATATGTCAAAGGGATACAGGAGCCAAGTGGAAGAGCTCCCAATGGCCAATGGAGGAATAATTTGAGCAACAAAATGAAGTAGCACTGGATTCTGGTCCAAAGTATAAAATAAACATCCATGAGTTCAGGCCAGGTGTGGTGGCTCACGCCTGTAATCCCAGCAGTTCCGGAGGCCGAGGCAGGTGGATCACCTGAGGTCAGGAGTTCAAGACCAGCCTGGCCAACATGGTGAAACTCTACTAAAAATACAAAAATTAGCCAGCCATGGTGGTGGGTGCCTGTAATCCCAGCTACTCAGGAGGCTGAGGCAGGAGAATCGCTTGAACCCGGGAGGTGGAGATTGCAGTGTGCCAAGATTGCACTACTGCACTCCAGCCTGGGCAACAGGCTGTCTCAAAACAAAACAAAACAAAACAAATCCATGAGTTCACACCGATACAAATAAATGGCTCTGTAAGCAAAAAATAAATAGGGGAACAGACAAATGTCCCACAGAGAAGAACTCCAAAAAATTTGCATAACATTCTGCCTTTAAGCATAGGGCATAATTCCATACTCCTTAAATGTGTGCTGTACATAATGACTTTCTCAAAAAGTATAGTGCAGAAAGTGCAGAAGGAAAAGTAACTCTACACTGGAAAAGCCTGACTACTACCTCAAGCCAGGTGGCCCAAGTCAACAGATGTCAATGATAACTCATAATGATAGTATGTACCCTTGATATGATATGATGAGAACAGCACTTTACCTCTGTGGTTGGATTAGTCCATTTTCATACCGCTTTGAAGAAATAGCCGAGACTGGGTAATTAATAAAGAAAAAGAGGTTTAATGGACTCACAGTTCCACATGGCTAGGGAGGTCTCACAATCATGGCGAAAGGCAAAGGGGAGGCAAAGGCACGTCTTATGTGACGGCAGGCAAGAGAGCATGTGCAGGGAAACTGCCCTTTATAACACCATGAGATCTCCTGAGACTTACTATCAGGAGAATAGCATGGGAAACACCCACCTCCATGATTCAATGACCTCCCATCAGGTCCCTCTCAAATGTGGGCATTATGGGAGTTACAATTCAAGATGAGATTTGGGTGAGGACACAGCCAAACCCTATCAGTGGTCCTCCTCCCCCAAAACCTACTACCCTGATCTTACTCATGTCAAAAACAGGCAAATCCTAATTAAAGGTCCTTCTGCAAAATATCTGACCAGTCAGTACTATCTTCAAAACCCTCAAGTTCATCTAAAACAAGGAAAGTCTGAGAAACGATCACAGAGAAGAGGAGCCTAAGGAGATACGATGACTAAATGTAATAGGGTGCCCTGGATAACACTCGAACAGAAAAATGACATTAGGGAAAAACTAAGGAAATATGAATAAAGTACGGATTAGAGTTAATAATAAGGTATCAATATTGGTTCAGTAATTGTGACAACATGTAAGATGTTAATAATAGGGGAAATGTAGGCTATATGGGCACTCACTTAAGTATCTTTGCGATAACTTTGTAAATCTAAAATTATTCTAAAACAAAAATGTTACTGGGGAAAAAAAGAATGGGTCAACATTTCAAAACAAATAAATAACCACTGAGACAAGTATAGCTCTCAAGACTTAGCAAATACTAAATCTTCTCTTAAGACTGAAAAACTCAAGATTTCACAACCGCCACAGGCCTTACTATCTCCCAACGTTGTGTACTGTGCTAGTAGGCCATTCTTGGCTTCTAATGAAGTAAGTTTAAATTCTGTTGTGAAAATTCAACTGAAAACAGACTGGGGAGTAGAAACCAGTGTCAGAAGCTACTGTTTTAGCCCAGGCACAGTGGCTCACGCTGGTAATCCCAAACACTTTGGGAGATCCAGGAGGGAGGATATCTTGCCTCCAGAAGTTCGAGACCAGCCTGGGCAACATAGTGACACTCCATCTCTATTTGAACTTTTTTTTTTTTTTAATTAAAAAGAAAAAAAAGCTGGGTGTGGTGGCTCCCACCTGTAATCCCAACACTTTGGGAGGCCGAGGCTGGTGGATCACCTGAGGTCGGGAGTTTGAGACCAGTCTGGCCAACATGGTGAAACCCTTTCTCTACTAAAGATACAAAAATTAGCCACACGTGGTGGCACACGTCTGTAATCTCAGCTACTCAGGAAGCTGAGGCAGGAGAATCGTTTGAACCCAAGAAGCGGAGGTTGCAGTGAGCCGAGATCCCGCCACTGCCCTTCAGCGTGGGCGACAGAGGGATTCCGTCTCTAAATAAATAAATAGAATGGCTTTTTAAAAAAAGAAAATAAGTTACTGCTTTACGGCAATGGGCTGTATAGCCTGGCCTGTCCCATTATAACAAATTCCTAAGAACTGCGCAAAACTAGATTAGAATGCAAAGCTAAGCCACTTCTCTGGGCAAAGTCACACTGGTAGCTGGTGGGCTGAAACTGGTGTGCAGATGCCCTGCAATATATAATTATTAATCCAAATGTGTTGTCACCATTTTAAAAGTGTTTCTCATATTCATTTCTCGCTTCTCTTAAAAAGAATTCGTCCAACAAACATGCACTGTGCACCTACTAAGGGCTTTACATTTACCACCTCGCTTTACCCGCAGTACAAGAGTGTATATCCATTTTAGAGGACGAAACTGAGGGCCAGAGAGGAACCGTGACTTCCCCACGGTAACACAGCCATATGGATTCCAACCTTGGCCAGACTCACTCTGGAGCTCAGGGTTCTCCTACTGCTCCACCCGTGGGAGGAAAGGCCCGGACCAGGCCATGAGGAGCCCTGGGTTCTGGTCCAGCCTCCGCACGACAGCGCAGGGCTGCACCAGGCGAGGCCCTCCGCCTCCCGGGGGGCTCAAACTCCCCTCCGGAAGTAATTTTTGAACGACCGCCGCGGGAACTTATTCAGGCCCTGAGCGGAGCGACAGCCTGGCCCGCTGAGCGGTGCCGCTGGGGACACGCCGGCCGGAAAAGCCAGACCGCTGCGACAAGCACGGCTCTCTCTCGGTTCCCGCCCCGCCGCGAGGCCTCTGCACTCACCTCCCGCGCCGCCGCGCCGCTCCCCCGGAAGTAGTTCCCCGCGACCCTGAGTCCCGGAAGTGACGCGCACTGAGCAACCCACGGGCTCTGTTCCGCCCGCGTTGCCTGCTTTCTGGGTGAGCCACCGCTGGGTTTTGTCGACTTTTGTCCCTGTTCTGTGGGTTTGAGCTGGACAAAGAGGTTTGGGGAAACGAAATCCAGAACTTGTCAATTCTTTAAGCTCCTATATCACTCAGCTCGTTTCAGCATATTTTTTTTTAATTGAAACAGAAGAAGTTATTTCTAGGGGCTGGGCACGGTGGCTCACGCCTGTAATCCCAGCACTTTGGGTGGCCGAGTTGGACGGATCACTTGAGGTCAGGAGTTCGAGACCAGCCTGGTCAACATGGTGAAACCCCGTCTCTACCAAAAATGCAAAAATTAGCCAGGCGTGGTGGCGGGCGCTTGTAATCCCAGCTGCTTGGGAGGCTGAGGCAAGAGAATCTCTTGATCCCGGGAGGCAGAGGTTGCAGTGAGCCGAGATTACGCCACTGCACTCCAGACTGGGTGGCAGAATGGGACTCTGCCTCAAAAAAAAAAAAAGTTACTTATTCATAGCAATGGGC